GTATTTATAACTACAATGAGATAATAACAAAAAGCGCAATATTAAATTGTATTCAATTTCACTATATTGAATTCAATTGTATTCAAAACATTAAGAAATAGGGTATATACCGTTCGATTCAATTCGACTGTATACATTGTATTCAATTCGTCGATATTCATTATTCACTATTATACATTGTAGCAATTCACCGTCTTTAATTCGACTCTATTCAAACAACAAAAAATCACAAAAGCGGTGATATTCGGTTGTATTAAAAAAACACAGACCTTCAAAATACATAAAATACATGCGAAAAAATAATGTATTTATACATAAATATAATGTATTTGAGGGTATTTGTACAGAATACAAAATATTTGAATTATTGTATGTGACTGAATAGCAAAGAAGAAGAAAGTTAATAGTGATATGCGGTTGTATTAAAAAAATACAGACTTTCGGAATACATAAAAAACAAGCAAAAAATAATATATTTATGCAAAATACAATGTATTTGAGTATATTTGTACAGAATACAATGTATTTGTATCATTGTATGTGACTCAATAGCAAAGAATAGAAGAAAGTTTGCCGAAGATGGCATATTACGGCCAAGCAAAATATTGTATACATTGTAATAAAGCTAAAAATGGAGACGGGCAAAAACCCGACCCTCAAATCTTCTTGACTCTGCTTCAGATTTTCAAAAGATCAATCAGTAGCCATGGCTAGATCTATTCGCCTACTCCCTCTTTGCTTCAGAAAGTCCAGCATCGCCAAAAAAAAAAACGATTGCTATGACGGTTGCCTTGATGGAAAAAGGGAGAGAGATTTGAGGAAGAAGAGAGAGGATTGAGAATCTTGCTGATAGAGAGAGAGAAAGAACATAACTGGCGTATTTCATGTCTCAATGGTAGGGTATAAAATAAATGCCTATTTTGCTATAAAATAGAAAAGACAACTATAAGTAATAATATGTTAAAATTGTTTTGGTTATAATAAATAGGGTGTAATAGTTTGCTATAGGAGGTAAAAAATGAATATTTTTCTATCTTTATACAAGTATCAGTGGCTGCTTCCGCAGCTCGACCCCTGAAGGCAAATTCCTTGAGCCGAGGGTCTACCAAAAATAACATTTTTATCTTCATAAGGTAGAGATTCTACTTGTGGGATTACAGTGAATTTATTGTTGTTGCTGACTTATAGTATTAGTTTTCACTCGCAATATATAATTCCGTTTTTTCCGAGTGAAATATGCTCTTATACTTTCGAATGTGTTTTTTTCAAATAACATTTTTTCAAAATTAACTTCAACTAAATATTGTAATTTAACAAGCAAATGAAAAGGAGTTACTTCATTAATTTCCAATGGCGCAGTACCTAGTTTTGCCAACTAGAAATCAATTATCAGGTAGTCCCATTTCAAATTATGCATAATTTAATTGAGCACGAAGTTTTAAAAAGAAAAATATACTCTTGAACATGTGGTCGCATTTTTGTAGTTATGGTTTTAAGGTTAAAATGATAGGTTCAAAGTTAAATTATTTTTAAATATAGCAGGGTTTCTTTTTTTCTTTAAATAGGGATTAAAAAGTATATTGTGCACATAAAATGGAATGGAGAGATCGGAATACTACTTGATATATCTTGATTGAGAAATATCTTATTCGCTTTAAGAAGCTAGCTAATCAAATTCACTATCCCTTTTCAGAAGACAGATATATTTTTGTTGCTTGATTATCTATATACTGTCCCTTTTTTGGCCTAAGTACTGCAGAAGGCATGCACGGAGCAGCTGCTTAAATTTCGCCAAAAAATAATTATTCCCTCAGTTTCATTTTATTTGTCATAGTTTGATTCGGTACAAAGTTTAACTTAAAAAGAAAAACTTCTAAAAATTATGGTTTTAAATATGTCATAACGTTATGTGTGATCATAAAACTTTTGAAACTTGTGATCTTAAATATGTCACAACACAATTTATTTGAGTATAAAAGTTCCTCATTAAGAAAGAATAGGAGTGTGTCATTTATTTTGAAATTAAATAAAAAAGAAAAAGTCAAACAAAGTGTAACAAAGGAATTATTTACTCCCTTTGTCACAATATATGTGACACTTTTTGCTTTTTAAGATTCAAACTTCTTAATTTTGACCATGCATTTGAATATAATAGAATCTTTAAGTTTTTAAAAATTTCAGAAGGATGGGGAGATAGATGAGGATGTCACACACCGTATCGGAGCATGGTGGATGGAGTGGAGGCTCGCTTCCGGTGTCTTGTGTGATAAGAATGTGCCGTTGAGACTTAAGGGTAAGTTCTACAAGGTAGTGGTTAGACCGATTATGTTGTATGGGGCAGAGTGTTGGCCAGTCAAAAACTCCCATGTCGAGCAAATGAAGGTAGCAGCAATGAGGATGTTGAGATGGATGTGTGGGCATACTAGGTTGGATAGAATAGGAATGAAGTTATTCGAGATAAGGTGGGAGTAGCACCTGTGGAGGCAAAGATGCGTGAGGCAAGGTTGAGATGGTTCGGGCATGTTATGAGGAGAAGCGCAGATGCTCCTGTCAGGAGATGTGAGAGGTTGGCCTTAGGAGGTGAGAGGAGGGGTAGAGGTAGGCCAAAGAAGTCTTGGGGAGAGGTGATCAGGCGGGACATGGCGCAACTTGAGCTAACCGTGGACATGACTCTAGATAGAAGGGTGTGGAGGTTAAAGATTAGGGTAGAAGGTTAGTAGGTAGTCGTGCGTCTATCATTGTCTTCTCTAGCTCGATAGTATTAGTACTAGTACGGTACCCTTTTTTCCTTAGTTTGCTATATTCGCATGTCTCATTTCGTTGTTACTTGCCATTGGTATTTTCGTAGTTTGCTAGCAGTACTTCGTTCATATTCTCGTCTGCTGCCTTGGAATTAGTTTTCTAAATATGTTATCTTGCTGCTACTACTTGTTATCAGTACCCCTTTCATATTATCTGTTGCTATCTTCGATTTAGTTTTCTAATTATTGTCTCGCTATTACTTGCTACCAGGGCTTGTCTCACCTTCTTTAGCCGAGGGTCTATCGGAAACAGTCTCTCTACCCTTCCAAGGTAGGGGTAAGGCTGCGTACATCCTACCCTCCCCAGACCTCACTTGTGGGACCACACTGGGTTGTTGTTGTTGTTGTTGTTTAATTTTTTGAAAATAAAATTTACATATTTGAAAATTATGTAAAAATATACTATAGGTCACAATAATTAATAATTCAAAATATTTAAAATATATATGAAAAATTGTGATAAAAGTATAATTTGTTTGACTCTCGAAATTCGAACGCCGTCATCATAAATTAGAACGGAGGGAGTACTTTCATATCTTAGAAAAAGAAAAAGATAGTACCTTGGTCAGTATGAGCATTAGAATCCTTCATCAATAGGAAAATGAGCACCAGAACAAGCATAACTCTACTAAATCTAAAGGACACCTATTCTATGTCATGTAACAAAACAGGCAGATTTGCCAAAAATCTGAAGTCCAAACCGAAGCCATAGCTAGGATTCAAACAATATGTTTTTTATTGATTTTTTTAAAAAATATTGATCGGAGAAAGAAAAAGATAGTTTGAAGCTTAATTAACTCAATAGAAACATAGAGATAAAGTATTTAAATAAAGGTTGAAATTAAAGTGGAAGATGGTATTTTGGGTTTGGTTGAAAATTCAGAAGGTTAGGTAAGAGCATAAGCATTGACTGAAAGATACATATGGTTGTTTAATTCCTCCTATTTTTGGCAAATTATTAAAGAAGGTTTCCTATTGAAACTATTAGGAAGAAAGTGGATTTGATTTTGAGATCACAACTGTCTTTACACTTTAATTAAGTCACCAAAATTTGGAAATGTTCTCCGACTGTAAATAATAAGCATAATTAAACCAACACCGATATAGTCATTGTCAAAGAATTTGGACCATTAGTTATTGTGCAAATTTTGTATTAGTATTAAACATGGATTAGTATTTGCTGAATAAATTTTGTACTTGTTATCTCATGTTTTTCTTTGAAAGCATAATGGTCTGTGTCCTCTAACAAGTTAAGGGGTCGTTTCATACGCGGACTAAATTATCCCTGGATTCTAATCCTGGGATTATAATCCCTAAGTGGTCGTTTGGTATGAGGTATTAGGTGGGATAAGAGTTGGGATTATATTTGTACCTTGTTTGGTTGGAGGTATAAATTTATCCTGCGATAGATTTGTACCTCTAACCAAACAAGGTGTAAACATAATCCCAAATCTTATCCCACTTATCCCATCTTATCCCACTTTATACCATCAGTTGTGGGATTATATTACTCCATCTTTTATGTGGTATAATTAGTACCAAACGACCCCTAAACTAATTTATTCCACCTCTAGGTGGGATAAAATAATACCAAGAATTGATGGGATATCCACGATTAAGAGCCCGTTTGGCTTAGCTGATAAGCATTAGGTGTTGATAAACATTTTAAGTGCTGAAACGCATTTAAAAAATAAGCAGTTAAGTGTTTGGATAAAAGTGCTGAAATTAATAATATGCAGCTGAAGAATTGGGTATACGAAGAGTTTTGTTTTAAAAATAAGTATTTTAGGGATAGAATAGTAAATATTTTGGTCAAACTTAAAGTGCTTATAAGCTGAAATTTGATAAGTTGGGGGAGACCAACTTATGGCTTTTGGCTTATTTTTGGCTTATAAGCACTTAACTTATAAGCACTTTTAGTTTTACCAAACGCGTAGATAAGCTAAAAAGTGCTTATAAGCCAGTTTGACCAGCTTATAAGCTTAGCCAAACACCCTCTAAGTCTGTTACTAAATTATACTATGTTTGATTGGCGGTATAAATATATCCCGGGATGAATTTATACTGCCAATCAAACATAGTATAAATTTAGTACCACACTTTATCCTACAATATCTCACCTTATCCCATGTACCAAACGACCCCTAAACGTTTATGCATCATGCAAGGCACAAAGGAACACACAGCAGAGTTGCAGAATAAGGTGAGAAAAAAATCCTTTGGACATAGGAACAAAAATACAGATTATTCAACATTAATTATTTTTAGAAAGAAAAAAAAGGACAACTGCCAAAACCTCTTTACTCCGGTATAATGAACTATTGTGCCTTCTATCACATTTTGACAAGAAGAAAAAAAATGAAAAATAAGGACAGTAACTTATGGTGGATTCTGTAACATGCTAAGATGTTTATATGGATGAATGAAGCATCTGTAAGCTAATCCAACATGTCTCTTCCCATCACTCAATGGGTGGAATACTTAGAGATCAATTTGTCAACATGAATTACAATATCATCTATGCGAGGTCGGACTGTAGCTTGAGGCTGAAGCATCCATGTCACAAACTGGTGAAGGGCGTCGGGATATGAAGTGTTAGGCTCAGTTGGCCACTTTATTTGTGCATTTACAATAGCCAACTGCGGACTTTCATCAGATTCCTCAAATGCATACTCGAAAGGAGATACTCCATACCTAGAGATAGAAAAGATGTGAAAAATTAATTATCGTTTCATGGGAACAGACATAAACACCAAATTCACAGTTAAAAATGTCCAAAACCAGTTCAAATATGCATGTCATGAGCTTCTTTACCTTGTATTGGAGAAGAAATAGATGCTGAAAACTTAGCTTGATGTTTGGATAAAGCTACCACGCATGAAAACTACTAGCAGATATCACTTGAGATTCAGAATACATACAAGTTCAACCCTAATAATACGCCTTCTCATAAAAAAATTGAGCACCTCAGTATTACAGTTTCACTTGACAGGAACCCTTATGGAGTTCTATAATGACCTTCATCTAGAACCAACATTTTATTGAGAAAATTATTACTGTCTAATTCCAACGTTCAATGATGATTTATCCAATCTGTCCCACCAAATTACTAGGCAACTCAGCACCAGACCAAAATTCAGTATGCTAACCAAAATACTAATTCTAATTTCTACGTATATACAAGTCAAATGCAGGACATTTCATTCTTGAGTTGACTTAACTACATGACTTGATCGAACTGAATATCAATTTATTAGACAATGTTGATGCAACTAACAGATATGTCAACAAGTGAATAAAGATATTTTCTTTTGGACAGCAAAAGCTACAAATATCTGCAAAAGAGTAGAGAGAAGTCTTACATTATTGCAAATAAAGTACAACCTAATGACCAGATATCAGTTCTTTCATCAATATCACATTGGCTTGGGCAATCCCAGAATTCAGGCGCGCGGAAAGGTGCTGCAACATGCTCAGATGCCCATTCCTAAATAAACCAGTACCACAGAATGAAATCAGATGAAAAATATGCACCAGAATGGCTTAAGATGAGAACAATAAGAAATAGAGCCAACAAAGAAAGCAATATTTATATGTTAATACAGTAAAATAGCGATAGAATACTCCCTGACCAGATTCACAATAAGGAAAATATGTGAAGCTTGCAGGCATACGAGAGCAGAAGATATATCTGTAATATAAGAACCACACTAACCTGCAACTGTAGGGCCTCCGAACGAGAACGAATTTGCCTTCTTGCAGGACGTGCACTTCCAAAATCCATTAATTTTGCAAGAGGTGTCTGTCCTTTCTTATGCGTTAAAAGTACATTAGCAGGTTTGACATCATTATGTGCATAGGGTGGATCAAAGTTGTGCATATGCTTGAGACCTGCACAAAGCTGCACATAAACCTTTTTCAGTATATCAATTTTAGTTTTCATAATTGCTTGAGCACCTGACCCATCTTCTTTTCCTCTCAGATAATGATAAGATGTTCTTGTGCATAGCATACTGATTATTATTCACCTGACGGAATATTTGAAGCACCTCCGAAGTGGAAAAGAACTCCTTCTTTGCTTTCATGGTTTTGGCATTATCCAGTAATGTCCCATCCAAATGGACTGGAAATAACAAGTATGCCTCATGCTTCTTGGGCTGATCTTGTGAGGCCTATCCAACATCCAAGTAAAATGAGATCTTTAGAGAAAATCCAGTGGTAAATGAATATCATAGAGGAAAGGGAACAAAGAAAAGAGAGATTGGCATGCCTATAGTGTTCAGAAATAGCAGAGCGTGTCTTTTCATAAGTGACAAATGACAACTTGCTCAAACATAGTTCTCATCCCCCAGAAGCAGAAAGGTGTATCATCTCAATGAGACATGTGAACCCTCTGTGATTGGTAGCAACTCCCCTCCCCCCTTTTCCTTTGCCTCTCGTGAAAAGAAAGGAACTACAGGATACACTTCTTTGACAATTCGCATGTGCAAACTTCTTTATATTTAGCCTTTCACCTCCATCTTAAGAGTGAAGTGAGGGAAATACATCTATTACGCTGGGGTTCAGTTACTTGAAACACATCTAATAACTCATGGAATGACAAACGATAAATGTTGTGCATGCGTTCACCTGCTTTGCAGGATATGCACTCTCAACTTAATACGTCGGCGAATTAATTGTGAAAAGCCCAATTGCTTAGAAATAGCCTATACGCGGAGCTGAGTTAATTACTAAATGAAGAAATTAGAAACCGCTGCGATAATTTTCTTTTCGATGTGCAACCGAAGCAAGTGCCACGGGGTTTCAGTAATTACCTTGACTGAAATGATAGCATGATCCAGGAGAGGAAGAAGATTGGGATGGCTAAACAGAGAGGAAACTCGGATCTCCTCTTTCACCAACTCCAACTGTTCATTGTTCTGAATAAGAACTTTCTTCATGGCATAAGTTCCATCATCTAAACATTCAGATGCAACGCATTATGAACACGATATGTTAAAATGACAATTTACAAATTTTTAATAACAAGAGAAATATGAAAATACAACAATGCACAAAAGTTTGTACTATTCTTGTCAAAGACAAAGAATCATAAATCTGACATCAGCTTAACCATTCTAACATCAGCTTATAGATCAAAAGTTCATTTCTCAAGATGATCTGATCACTCTATAGAAACATCTAATACCCAAGCTAAGTCGCAGTTTTTCCACATGCAAAGGAAAGAAAACATGGATAATAGCAAACATCCCAGTTCCTCACAAGTTCCAGATCCCTAATTGGAACCACAGAGACATGAAAAGATCAAATCCGCAGAGCCAATTGATACAGAACCTCCCCACATGATCATTCACAACTACAACTAATACGAATCATAAACATTTTGAAACGGGCAAGAAAACCTATTATTCACAAATCTAACCTAATAGTCAACAGCAACAACTACCAATATGCCTCTATCTGAATTAGCTGGTGTGAGGTATAAGAACTCTCAATCCATTATGCTCAATCTAAATCCATTTACAAATCTGACCCATTTCTCAGATCATAAGGAAAATGAACAAATGTCCCTAAATGAAACTTCCTACAATACACAAATCTGATCCAACTGTCAGATTCCAGAAAAAGAAAAACTATCACAACCAGAATTTCCTATTATTCACAAATCTGATCCCATTGTCATCATCAACAACTACTCAACTATCCACCTCGATCCCAAAACTAGTCGGAGTCAGAATCCTCAAACTTCACACTGCTCCATTGACCCATTTTACAAATCTGACTCAATTGTCAACTGACCAAAAAAATGCTGATTAATGGAACTTCCTATCAGTAACACATCTGACCTGATTGTCAATATAAGAGAAATGAAAAATGCTAATAAATGGATCTTCCTATTATTCACAAATCTGATCCAATTTTCAGCATCAACAACTACTACTATGCCTTTATCCCATACTACCAATTACTATATGAATCCTCAATATGTATTCACTCCATTTGGATAAAATTGCATATAAATCGAACTATGAGCATATGTAATTTCAATTTCAGATTACAAATTCAGTAGTAATATGTACCTGAGACAAGAGAAGGGTCTTTGAATTTCTTAGAAAAGCTAGGGTTAGAAGGGTCAGAGATGATCTCCTTGACGATGAACACATTGTCCAAACCACCTTCCCCTAATTGCTTAAGAATCCTGAACCGATTCTCATTGATCCAAACATCCCCTCCACCATTTGCGCCGTCGTACAAAGCATTCAGTCCCGAGAACGAGCATCCCATTTTCTTTGTTTTCTCAATCAAATGGTCAGCTCCTTCTCGTTCTCTCTCTGACTATTGAGAGAGATTTTTTTTTTTTCTCCTTTTTCTCTGGATCTCACCCTGTTCCTATGTCTTAAATGCTGTGTGTGAGATTTGGGACACAATTGATTGTGATGCTTGTAGTAGAAAGTAGTACAACTGTACAAGGTAACTTCTTTCTCGGATCTACATGTGTTTGCGTACGTAATTTGTTGATTTTTCCCTTTTTCAGTGTCACCGCCATACCTTCCATCCCCATTAGCTTTGAGGTAATTTGGTTAGTACGGACTTATAATAAAAAAAAGTTAGCATTTTGAAAAGTCATTCAAAAATAACCACTATTTTATTGAAACACAGAAAGTTCCAGCTGGATTATAGATCTCTTACGTATTAAGTTCTAGAATATTATGTTGGAACTCCAGCACACGAAAAATTCCAACATAATATGCTAGATTATGGAGCTTTTGCGTATAAACTTGCAACATATTATATTGGAACTCCAACACAAGCGCTTGTAGCTCAGTGGATAGAGTGTTGTTTCATAAGCAGAATGCCGCAGGTTCGACCCTTACCTGACTCAATAGAGTAACCTTTTTTTGCCACGGTCTATTTTGTATATTTTTTGTATAGTGACGGTCTTTTTTTGTATAGTGACGGTATATTTTATATAATTTTTATATAGTGACAGTCTATTTAGTATATATTTTGTATATTGACAATCTATTTTGTATATAATTTGTATAGTGACAATCTATTGTGTATAAATAGTATAGTGACAGTTTATTTAGTATATTTTTGTATAGTGACAATCTATTTTGTATATATTTTTTATAGTGACAGTCTATTTTGCATATAATTTGTATAGTGACAATCTATTGTATATAAATTGTATAGTGACAATTTATTTAGTANTATATTTTGTATAGCGACAGTTTATTTTGTATATTTTCTGTATAATGAAAGTCTATTTCTGTACATCTATTGTATAAAAATTTTATAGTGATAGTCTATTTTTGTATATTTTTTGTATAGTGACAGTCTATTGTTTATAAATTGTATAATAACAGTCTATTTTGTATAATTTTTGTATAGTGATAATCTATTTTGTATATTTTTAGTATATGTTTTGTATAATGACAGTTTATTTTGTATATATTTTGTATAGTTACAGTCTATTGTATATAAATTGTGTAGTGGCATTATATTTACTATATATTTTGTAGGGAAAAGATCCAAAATTGTCCCTCTACTATTGTTTATTGTTTACTTCTGTCATCCGTTATACTTTTCGTCCAATCTAGCCCCTACAGTTAATAAACTTGTTAGAATTGCCCCTAACCCTAACGTTTCTCCACTGTGGCAGTTAACCCCTCAATTAAAGTGCCACGTAGATAGCCAAGTCAGCACCTATTTTTAAAATGCCTTCATAATAAATAATTAAACTCACTTAAAATCCCTAAATTTAATAGCCCCACTTCATAGCAGCTCCTTCTTCTCCGTAAAAAACCTCCACTGTTGAAAAAGATATAGTTCGTCAAGAGGAATCGGCTGCTCCTTCAAAGAAATCATTCGGTGCATTAATTTCTTCCATAAATTTCCTTTTCCCCAACTTGCTCTTTTCTTTCTCCATAATTAGAGTAAATGAATCAATTATTCTTCTGCCATACCCTTTTGTCACATGTTATTTCTCTTTATTGCCTTCTCCATTTCTTCAACAAGTTGAGAGGTGAAGCTATTTCCAATTAAATGCTAAATTATTTTAAGTTTCTTCCTCCCTAATTATTTCTCCCCTATTTGGTGGGGTTTATTCGAGATGAGAAATTCTTATTATATTTTGCATATTTAACGAGTTGATTCAATCTGCTGGCATCTGATGATAATTATTTCCTTTGTAATTGATTTTTCCAATGAGTCTTGGATGAAAAATATGATGACCTTTCAGAGCAGTCATCTATATGATTGGTGGAATTGACGAGGCCATTGCCAAAGAATCTGCAGCTTAGATTATAAACTCCATTGACTTTCTTTCATTCAACCGCTATTGGCTTCTGTTTATAAACTGTTGGACCTGGAAATGAAGCACCATCTTTTATGAATGCATACTCTGTTGTTAATGGAGAGGGTGAATATGGAGGTTACTCTGTGTGTAGTGTTCTCAGGTGGTGGTTTGAAAAAAATCGTTTGATGAATGTGTGATGCCTTTTCAGATGTGGAGATGGTGATTTTGGAGTTTGTATTCCTGACGATGAAGGTGCGGCAAAGGGATGGGAATAGTTTAAGGAGATGGGTGAGGTTTGTTTGAAATTTTTTGTGGGACCCTTAAAATTTGGTGGGGTCGATGACATGGCAGTTGACATGAATGAAATTGAGGGGGTTAGCTGCCACAGTGTCAAAATGTTAGGGTTAGGGGTAGTTTTTAAAACTTGATTAACGGTAGGGGCTAGATTGGACGAAAAGTGTAACGGATGGCAGAAGTAACTAATAAACAATAGTAGATGGACAATTTTGACCCTTTCTATTTAGTTTATTTATTGTATAATGACAGTTTATTTTTGTATATGTTTTGTATAGTGACCCTATCTCTTTTTTTAAACACGAGAAATTTGTTTTTACACATGAGAGATTTATTTTTTTACATGTAAAAGATCTAAAAAGGATATTTTCTTAATTTCAACATTGTAAAAAGCGCCTAAACCCCTCAAAAAACTTAAGTCAAGTCCCATTATTATATAGTACTACGATTAAAGCATGGAGGTGCGCATAATATTATCCTTTAGGTGGGGTTCCTCTTCTATATTTTTTTTTTAATTTTAAAAAGATAAAGTTCTTGATCACTCACTGTGCCAGTTCCGATACCAAAAACGTAAAAGGAATCTTCTTATATAGTTACTTGAACAAAACGTTAAGCAAGTTCTCATCTTTTGTAAGTAGTTTTTTTTTTCCTCATAAAGATTCTTATTTAGGAACCAATTCTAGAGTACCTTACGCTTATTCTGTTTAACATCTCTCAGCAAACAAAAGTAGCAAGAAGCGGCACCACTTGTAAATTGGATTTTGAGTGGGTAAAAGAAAGATTTAGCTTTGTTTTTATCAACATATGAGATGGCAAAATCGATTTCTACATCTTCGTTGCAAATCGAGTTAATAATTCATGTAGGTTCTGTATTTGGTGTTGAAATCGGGAATATTAACACTATCTTAGTTAATTTCTGCTACTAACTTATTGGTTAAGTACTCAACGCCGTTCTCAATTTTGGGAAGGGCTAGACTTCCAGTTATAAGCGATGAATGGTAAAGATGCCGACTTTTAAGTTTTTGGCTAGCTATTATAATTAGTTTTTGGCTTCAAATTGCATAATAGATTTTTGGGCTAGAGTTTGTCAAAAGTTTCAACCGAACGGCTAAAAGTGAAATTGTCTCTTATGAAATTACCACACATTATGCTGGAATCTTATGGAAATGACACCAAGTAGCCACCTTCAAGCATGGTGTTTAATTTATATCCACAATTTAGAATGTATTTAAAGATTAGCCAATTTCGCTCAAATTTCAGGACGCGACGTCCTAGAGTTTAAACCTCAAAGTTCAAACTTTAGGACATTGTGTCCTAAAGTTCGAAAATTGTGTCAAGAAGTTCGAATCTTATGTCTGAGTTTTAAATTAGTTGTTCAGAAATTCAGGACACTTTGTCCTGAATTTCTAATTAGTAGCTCAGAAATCTAAAATCAGGATACTTAGTCCTGAAATTTTGGTGAATTGGCTAATGTATAAATACATTATAAATTGTGAATATATTTCAAATCGCGGACTTAAACGTGGCTATTGTTGCACTTCGCTCTGGAATCTCATATTTAAAAAATTCAAACTCTAACATAGTATGCTGGAACCTTTTCGGATTTTTAAGGGTGTTTTTGTTTGGATTTTATCTTTACATGAAAAAGTTGCTTAATTTTAATTACTTTTAAAATTGTGGCTATTTTACAATTACCAATTGTAACTTTGACTATTTCGGATTTTTTTTCCCGGTAATTTGAGATGCCTATTTTACTTTATTCTAAATTTAAGCTGGCCTAGATGTTTCTTACTAACTTTTTTAGAAAAAAAAAAAGCAGATTTTTAGAATTTGATTATTTTAGATTACTTTCAAGGTAAATTTTACCTAATCACCATAAGATTTTAGATTTGGGGAACAATGCCCACAGACGGTAAACTCCTTTGAACGTAAATATAAAACAATAATAACATACCCAAATAACTCCACAACTGAGATTTGGAAAGATCAGTGTGTACACAGACCTTTTCCCTACCTTGTGAAGGTAGAAAAAATATTTCTGTAAATAGACAGTGAAAAAAAATAGCTGGTCATCTCATGTATTTAAAGATGTAAAAATTATCCATACGAGGGATCATTATCATTTTTTTCTCCAAATACCTAAAAATGTTGGGGGTGTTCATAATCGGTAAACAATGAATTATCGAATGAAATCCTATAAATGATTCAAGCTTCAAACATTATCATAAGTTCATAACTGCTGGTGTCCACAAAAATCAATTCAAATTAGTTTATAGAGTTGAAATAACAAAAAGAAAATCAAAATAAAAACTTTTGCATTTTGATAAAAGCAATTACTTCATTAGTATTTACTGCCCGTGGAAAGCTTAGTTTGTAGTCAAATTATGTGTAACATTTTTGCAATACCACAAAAATCATCTACATCGTTAAATTGAAAGAATGGAGCCAATAGCATAGCCTAGCGCAGAAAATAAATTTATACTTTCAATTCTGCATATGACCAGTGAAAAATGTATTTACACAAGTCAGTCATAAAATAATTACAGGTAAAATTCAATGCACCGTGAAAGCTTCTACAATAGGTAAAACTACACTAATAGTGCAAAAATCGTTATAAACCTCAAGGTGACAATTGCTTGACAGTCACCGAAATCAAAATGTTATTACACAGCTCAATCTGCACATTAGTGATAGTTGGTTTATTTCACGTAGTGGTGGCAAAATGGATAAAATAAACAGTTATTCATCCATATTATCCACTTAAAAATGAATTGGATAATAACTTTTTTAAAAATAAGTCAAATATGGATAAGAACCATATTATCCACTTAAACAAAAAAAGGGTTTAACTGCAAAGACCCAAATTGGGGATTTCTCAAGTTTGAGAGACCATGAATTCTCCCAAAAGTAATCATATTCAAAAAGTCATCCATATTATCCGTCGGTTAACCCATTTTCTATCCGTATTAAATACGGTCCGGGTCGGTTAATTTATCCATTTTTTATTACCCGCCCATATCGGACATGTCCGTTTGCAACAATATGTGAACCAAGGAGCAAGCTGGAGTCAGTACGATCTGCATCTAAATTTCCAGTGAAGTCTATAGCTTACCAAAAACTTCATCAATCAAAAATCAATTTGTGCTGTAACCTGGAAAGAATCCAGATCCAACAGTACAGAAGTTTTCTTTGGAGAAGTCTATTATTTTTGCACTTCAGACTCTTAACGAAAAAAGAAAATACATAAAAATTAAGTCCATGTGTCAAGTGCGGAATCAATCATGGGTGAATATTATGGGCCGGTTGGCTGCTGCTGCGTGATACAATGTATATTGCCACCTCCCAACACAATCTCCCTTGCACCTTCAATTCCTACCACCTACCACCAACCATTTTCAAATTACATGAGTTCGGGAGGGACTGTTCAGATTAATGACTGAAACATGAGGAGACATGGGGTGCAAGAATTTGAGTTGAAACATGAATTTTCCTCCCACCTCCAATGAGAGTACAATCAGTTTAGTCGTTTCTAAGGCATATTTCAAATGTAGTGGTTGCGATGAAAGTTTGACATAATTATGTACGCATTAACACACTCTCATTTACAACGCCTAATCTACAATGCTAAATGATAATGGAGCTAACCTTGTGCATGTATGTAAGGTAGGTTTAACAATTACATTCCTCAGCACATGAATGCATAAGCATATCAATCATCATTATTTAAAATGTACTAAAGCCTGGTAATTTTGCATACAGCTCTACCCATTATGTCGAATGACTAATGACCATTGCAAATAATAACCAGACCAAGTTCTTTGCTTACCTCATGATCCGGAAACGCCAGCGAGAGGACTCTAATAGCTTCTTCATCCCATTTTTTGTCCCCAAATTGCGGAGTAATAATAGCGCCATTGGCAATGTAGAAGTTTACGTACGAAGCAGCAAGCCTTGTACCGGAAGTCCTAGGTTTTGCATCACCATCCTGTTAGGAAAACAGTATGATCAAATCAGAATGATTTACTTGAAAGAAAAAACAGAGAAAAAATGCTTGATTTTTTCCTCGAGTGTAGATCCTCAAGAAAGCAAGTAGAATTGTAAAGCTACAAAAGTGCTTGGAGAACTTTGGAAAGAACAAAAGATTAGTATTGCATAATACCTATAATGTCATTAATATGATGTTCCTCAAGATATAATTCAGTTTCAGAAGATCATGTTTTTCAAAAAGATAAAGGTATATATCCCCTGAATCATGAATATTTCAAGCAGCTGTTACAAAAGGTCAAGTTACATTCTGTCATTTCACAGAACATGACCAAGAAATCCCGCAGAAGCTCGGAACCTAAGGGCCAAGCAATTCCTCTGGGGACTGACTTTTGAGTCAACTCAATGACGTAAAAGGATAGTTGTTTCAGTTAATTATATACACGTATTTATGATATTTCACTGTTCTGTGAGTAAAAATGATTGCATTTCCACAGAAAGGAAGACAGCAACATTTTAAAACAAATCTAATCCATATATAGTTATCTTTGATCCAAAATTCGAACTGATGAATATCATCCTACCCATTAATGTTTTGCATATAAATAGAAAAAGAAAGAGAAATAAATCATCATGCCTATATCATATTCACAAATTCTGGCAAACGTCGACTTGAGATGCATCGAAATTTCTGTTTAGACAGCTCCACAATTTTCTTTTTCTTTTCAAAATTTTATGTTTGACAGGGAATGAATGCCTTAATGGAATGGAATCTAGGATCCAAGTAGATTACATTAAGACAAGTATGAGTTCGACCCCTTTCTCATCGGGCAGTAATAATGTCACCAAAGAGGTACCAGAAACATCACCTGAAATATTCCATCTGCCTCCTCATCTGTCATACAGAGTGGCCCAGGTACATGGAGTTTGATCACTTGTAGTTTTCTACCATTCGCATCAGAAGTAGTTTCAAGAATAGAAAGGGCTTCAATGGATCTCTCATACTGTGGATCAGAATGATCATCGGTCCAAGACAATAAAACAACACCAGGCTTCACAAAACAGCACATGTTGTCAATATGACCATTTGTATCATCATCACCTGCAGCATCAACAGTAAACTAAAGTCTAGCTGTTCACTTCTCTATTATTATTTTGTAAACAAATGAAAAAGAAAAAGGAAACATCATCTCAAGGTCCACTGCACAAAGTTTGAAAGATAAATAACAAAACATGAATTCTTTGAACGGGTAACATCCCAATATGTTATCTGAAAACGACACTTAAACTCTCTAATAAAAAAGGGTTTTATAGGTTTGTAATCTCTCAAGTAATTAACAAAATTTCAAACTACCAACTTCGTTCCGAATACCAAAATTAATAATCCACCATTCCATTTTGTTTGGTATGGTTCGGAGTACGAGGGTCAAATTACTTAATTTTCTAGGTGAATTCGAACATAAATTCTTCAATTTTTGGAAATAAAATTAGCATATTTGGAAACAATCTAACTATAAGTCAAAAATAATTGATAATTGGAAATATTGAAAAAATATTTAAGAAAAACATGGTAAAAAAAAAAAAGAACCTCTTCGATTCTCCAAATAGTAAATATGCCAAACAAAGTGGAAAAGAGGGCGTAATCTTTTTTATGTAGATCCCTTGGGATTGTTAATTAGAGAAAAGTTTTGAACGTGACTAAGGCAGCCTGGTGCACTAAGCTCCCGCTATGCCCGGGTTCCGGGGAAGGGCCGTACCACAATGTTAGATTATTTATGTTTTGAACGTGACTCTGCATTATAATTAAAATTTTGTCAAGTATTTTAAATTATTTAAGTGTATTTTGATCCTACCACAATGTTGTAACCGACTCAATAATCAATTCTTTTTTATTTCCATACAGGTTCAGTTCTTAAAACCTTACACACTTGGCTTAACCTCAAACTGCAGTTTACAGTCTCCTTTTCTAATGTTCCTGTCTCAAAAAAGGCCAGCTTGAAGAAAAAAGGATTGACCAAAAGAAGTTTTGGAGACCTGCATGAGGGAACATGCTAAAAGCACCGATGGAAACAGTTGTGCTAATTACCCTATAAAATTTCAAGATTCTCACGGCTGTTCTCTTATGCAAAAATGAGAATGGATACACATCATCCTAATGATACAACCAAGGATAGAACTTTGCCAAATCCAACACTACCACATGAAAGCACGAACTTTTGCAGGTCAAGGACACAAGTCCATTATCTCAACTATGCGCAAAGAAAAATATAAGACGGCAAGCAGAATGAATACCAAACAATCCTCGAGGCAGCCAAATAATCTTCCTGACTCCAAGATATGCTTTTAGTTCATTCTCAATCTGTTCCTTAGACAAATGGGGGTTCCTGTTTTTATTCAGGAGGCACTCTTCTGTCGTGAGACAAGTCCCTGAAGAGAAGATAATAGAGGATAAGACAGCATGCTCTTTGCATCTAACCAACAATCATAAGAGTAGCATCTGAATTCAGAATACGATATGGGATTCAACGCAAACAGATGAAGACACCCCCCATGGAACTGGATAACTGGGTAAGTAGATGAAAGTCATTTACCAGCAGAACCTTTCAACTCTTTCTTAAGCATTCTAAATTAAATTTGGAAAATTCAGTACTTTGTATTGCTAGCTACAAAATTAAAGAAGATGTCATTTAGTTCAAGAGTCTGTTTTTTCACTTCCATACTTCGTTTGCTTAATATCTTACAGGCAGATGAAGCAGTTTGTCTATGACTGGAGCTTCATAAATAATTCACAGCTATCGAAATCAACTCTCAAACATGATTACTCTGAAATGGAGAAAGAGACTCACTTTTAAATTATAAGGAAATCAAGTCTAGTCCATAAAATAAATAAAATGTATGTACCTTCTCCATCCACATGAATGCTTCCACCTTCAAGAATCATAGAGTGTGGAAACCTTGAGACCTTTTCAATTGCCAAAATCTAAACAAGAAGAACATAAAGGATAACTCAATAGCACATGTGTATTTAGTAACCAATAATGTACTATTAACAAGACAATCTGCAGCATAAGAAACTTGCAGACCTTTCTTGCAACAAGAAGGTCATGACTCCAGTCTTCGTAACATCCATCATCAACACCTAGATATTTTAAATATCATGATCATGAATGTGTTTCGCCCGCGAGAAAGAAACCAAAAGAATCTTGGATCAATCTAAGAGCAACTCTATATTACTGGATATGATTTTGAGACAATATTACTATGGCAAGACAGAAGCAAAGCACACATGAGATTCAAATAACAAACAACACACTACAGACTGATCATCAGCACAAACATGTCTGAAAAGTTCAGCAACTTCCAGAAGCATTCTAAAATTGATGAAAGCTCCTGTCAATTACTTATATTTAACGGATACGAAATACTATTTGCTTATAGAACAAAGACACACAGGTATATTTCTCTTTCTAGAAGTTCTAGGCAATTAAAGCAGACTACAAAACGCAGAAGATAAATATCCTGAGCCCTTCAACATATCATCAAACTATATTTGTCTGGATTCCATATGACATGAAAAGCTGTAGAATAATCGTGTCATATGCTGGAGCTGGAAGGCTATGAAAGCCTCAAGCATTTGGGAAGGAAAAACTCAACATAAAGTACCATCACGCCAGATTGGCCATTAGCTAAATCATATGATGATTAACATTTGGGGAAAAAAAGAAAGACTTTTTCAGTGGGATCAATGAGAATTTTCCAACGTAAATTGCAGATTGGGGTATTGAGAGTTAAACCTCCCAAGAAAAATATTGCGGTACAATTAATGGAAATCGGGCTGCATTTTGTAACTAACGGATGAAACTCCTGAGACAGGATATACCCGTTGATAACTTTCACGTGAAAAAGAAAAGTAAAACAGCATGTTCCTCATATAGATATCAAGAGTGAGATCCAAATATCTTACCACCCCAGCTATTGAAGGTCCAATCAATTCCTGCAACACTCGACGCTACATGTTCTGCATTTGCTGCAGTATTTCTGATGACAAACTACATGGATAGAGATATGATTTTCTTGTAACTCCATGTGGTGTGACAGTTAAAAGTAAATACAATGTTGCACTCCACAGAAAGGAAACAAAAGCTCACAGTTGGACCAGTATCACGAAACCAAGAATCATTCATGCTCATCTCCACAACCCTGATATGTTTTGGTAACTGGCTGCGTGCATTTTCCCACTGTTCAACATAGATATGATTTTTCTCAGAACTAAAGAGGGACTATCATGACGTACTGAGAAAACTTTTTTGGTGCCTTCCAAAAACTGCAAACCTGAGCAGCACTAGCACAGACTGTTACTGGTTCGAATCTTGAGATAGCAGATGCTACATTGGCAAATACACGTTGACCATGAAGTGCATTGTTTCGCCAGTTATCTGGACGCTCCTACATCTCAAAAATAAGCTATCAGCCGACAGAAACCGAAATCTCTGCGTCTTGAGAAGAAATTACTACCTGAATATCATACTCCATGGAAAATTGAGCCAAAAAAAGGAAACAAAATAAAAGTACTAATCGAACAGGGAAGAAGATGTGTTGCCTTTTAAGAAACAATAAAGAGTCATGTCAAGATGTCAACCATACAGATGATGTCATAGAATGTCATTAAGAAATGTGAAATCTGTAGTTCAGACTGTGAGATTGCTCACATTGCTTAAACTATTCAACCAGCCATACTCTACTAAGATGGAACTCCAATATAAAGTTTCAAAAGGAGACATCTGAGACTAAAAGCAACCAAAGACAACTTCTTTAGATAATCAGAAATGAGAGGATCATGAACAGTGATCCTACTTTCTTCTAGAAACCACATAAAGTATCTTCTCACTTGCAACAGAACAGCTTTAAAAAACACTTGTACAACGATCAAGAAAAGAAATGAATCATGTTCTTGAATGATATGCAAACTCACATGAAAGAATGAGTTGCACCAAATCCCATTATCGTCCAATGATCCTAATTGGCACAGTACTTATTTTTGCAGCTACATATGGGCATGATGCTGAATTACACTGCTATATTTGATAAGCATAAAAGGATTCTCACTTGTTAATAACCTATTCTCTAGATGATTTGAAACACCTCCACCGCACAAGCACACGCACACTCACATAGTGCCAAACCAGGATTAGAATCAATGGGTTTGGAGTGGATGATATTAAACACGTACATGTTTTATATTATTTTATACATTTATTTATTTCGTTGTTATTAGTATTATTATTGTATATGGATAGAAGGTCTAAGCTGAAAGCAGTGGTTTCTGTTAAACCCGAGCATAGAGCTAGATCTGCCGAAGCATCCACACTCTAGATTAAATTTTTTTTTCTTGGTTTCCCACACCCTGGTACCTGCTTTGGTGCCCAACTAATCCGGACGAAGTCCCACTCAAAGTCAAAGGCAACTTCATTAGATTTCAAGTCGAATATGAACTAGCAATTGAAAAATCATCAAATTCTCCTACATGAATAGACTAATTTAAGCTAAAAGGAAACTGCTCGGGTAAAACTTCTCCACCTAAACGGAGGCAAATATCCATGATTAGCCATCATCATACACATAGCTAAAAAAATGGTACTAAAATTTAAGGCAAGCAAAATAGTAAGATAAACAGCTAAAAATAGAGAGTACTAACAGGCCAGCCCATCCAACAATGAGAGTGGGATTCCCATTCAGCAGGCATACGATATCCATTTTCCACTGGCGTCCCCTTCAGATCCATCTCTAACCTCTTCTTCTTCTTCTTCTTCTTTCTTCTTCTTCTTCTATCTCTCTCTCTCTCTCTCTCTATCTATCTATCTATCTATATATATATATATATATATATATGTGCTATTTCACCAATTTTGGCTTTTATTTATTGATTCGTCTAAATTAACAGAACAAAGATAGGAGTCTGCACCCTGCAGAAAGACAACAAAATTAAGTGCGTGGGAGTTGTGACACTTAAAGAGTAGTGTTTTTCCAAAAGAAAAGATTCGTCAAATAAAGTGTGCCCTCGAATTTTGTTTTTCCTCTTTGGTGAATTAAATATTCACTTTTATTTATCTACTATTTTAAAAATAGATTTTCACTTTACTCATAACTTTTAACATATCAAGAGAATGATAATTTCTTTTTTCTTATTATACTCACAGTATTAATTACTCATTTCAAATCATTTTTCTCAAATTCATTAAAAGTATGCATCAATTAATATAGGTATTACTGTAAAATAACCACTTCATTTATTGTTTCTTAAGAGGTGTGCAAAGTAGATAGTGGAAAAGTAAAAGTGAAAAAGATTATTTAAAAAGAAGGGAATCATATCATGTGATCTTTAAAATACACTTTAATATACTCCATCCGTCTCATATTAGTTACTAAAAATAGTTGTCTCAAATTATTTGTCACTTTAAAGTTTAAATTGATTATCTTTTTCCTTTCTTACCCTTAGTAATAATTATCCTTGAAGACTAAACACCTCAATTATGAATAATTTTGTTCAAATACAATGAAGAAAGATTAAATATTAAAACATGAATAAGGGTAAAGTAGTCAAAATCCCATTTTAATTAATTTTTTTTAAGGGGCGTCTAAAAGAAATAATGACAGATAATATGAGATGGAGGGAGTAGTAATTAAACTTGATAAATTTGTATTGCTTTCACATTACTTTAAAATTCACAAAGTGCTCTTTGATAATGTTAAATATACTCGTGTTCGTGGTCCATTTAATTTAATTTAATTTATTACTAATAAAGTGAAAGTTGGTTCATGATTTGACATGAAATGAGAAAAAGGTTAAATATTAAATTCGCCTGGTTTGTTTCTATTAATTTGGTTTTATAATTGATACTGTATCTATTGCTTTTTGTTTGGGGGGTTTTGGTTTGGGGGATGGGGGGAGGCAGTAAACAACCTAAGATGCCGTGGTTTTGGTTAAAAAAAAATTAGGTTAATTGTCAAACAAATATTATCGTACGATGAATATCATGTCAAACCAAATGAGTTTAAAGGGATCATTAATCAACTGAGGCACCTAGTGTTAGAACATCAATATTTGTTGTCTATGGCTCCATTTTGAGTTCTGTAAAGAATAGTAAATTTATCGCGGCCAACATTTGAACTAAATATGTTAGTCGATAATAACATATTCAGTATAGTATCGGGATATGAGAGATATATCAGTAGACTGAGTATCAAATTACATTTAGTGAATACCCAAATCAAACATAGGATGAAGTTAACCCTAAACTTTATCCCGATACTATTATTCTTATCCCATGTATCAAAGATTTGGTATGATGGATAAATAAGAATAATACTACGATAAAAATTATACTGTTTTTTTCCTTGTTTGGTTACTAAGCTTGGTAGAAGTTATCCAAGGATTAAAAGTAGTACCATGATAACTTATACCTGCCAGATTGTGGGATAAGTTATCCCAGGAGACAGCAGTAAAATTGATCCCAGGATTAGAAAATATACCGAACGATCAATAAGAAATAATATCAAAATAACTAATCTCAACTTCACTTGTCTGACCCCTAAAGTGTCTATTTCTGGCAATAAGTGCCTACTTGTTTAAGACTCAGTCATCTAAATACAGCAAATTGTCACTGCTACTGCATCCATTGCGCAATAATTAACCACGAGCCTGCAACAAGTCACACACAAAATGGAGAATACTTGGATATGAATAAAGACGCAAAGGAAGAAACAGGTGCAGCTCAGCTTCAAAAGATTAAATACTAGATTCGTTACTAAAGCTGAGTACAGGGAAAATAGGTACAAACTTAAAATCATAATGTTGATAATCAGAACATCGAGGATGTCATTTCACCGATTTCTGATACAACTTGATCATAATCTGCTTTCAGTTTCTCTTGATCCTCCTGGCTAAGTTCCCCCTTGGCAGGTTTTGTTTGTACCAAAACGCAGCAAGTTGGCCTCTTGGTGGCTCCGGCATTTGCTAGATCCTGAAACAGAGTTGACTAATTTTTACGATCATGACCACGTAACACACCTGAAGTTGTACAGAACATAATGCATGACATTGACAAAAAAGGCAGAGAAAGCACACATCATAGAGCCTTTATAATATTTGATAAACTACACTCGTGACCAACGCAATCACAAGAGTTGAGCGTTCTGAATTCTAATAGCACCACAGCATTATTGAGTTTGAGACGGTAAATAAATCCTAACGGATCTTACAACTTTAAATATGCACTACAAGTGAAATTCCAGACAAGAATGGGTGGAACCAAAGGGGCTTATGACATGAAACAATGAAAGAAGTGATATACAATCTTGATTACTCTGATAAAGAATGAAAACGATTACACAAGCACTATAGTAAGGTCAGTGTAATGTCACAGGTTCAAAGCCGAATGAAGTCGCAAACTGTAACTAGTGAATGAACAGACAAGATAACAACATATTAATAATATGACATAAAAGCCTGAAAAGTCTAGCTTACTTCTTTTGAGGAGACGTAGACATATGGTATCTCAGCTTCTTCACACAGGATTGGAACATGGGTGATGACATCTATAGGAGATATATTTCCGGCTATAACACACACTCTGCAATCACCAAAATCAAATGGATGATGAGAAATAGAGAAAATCTGTTATCACCAACAATATATGTGTTCGTAAATTTGTATGCAAATGACAAAGCGCTAGGTTCACAGCATCAGTGTGAGTTCAGTATCATGAGTGAAAACTGTGCAAACAAAATTTATGTCAAAGTAACTAAATTACAATATAAAGAGCAAAAATTTAGTATTGAAAAAAGCTAGCCTGTTATATCATGCTGTGATTGGACGATGTCAATATAAAAGCACATCACAGCAATAACCCCAACAGTCCAACTCTTTACTCCAGCCTCACTCACTTTCAGATTGCACTTAACTCCTAAAGTTTCGTCTATTCCATCGATTTTAATATCTTTGTTGTCTGGAAGAACAGCACAGATAGGCAAATTTAATATAATTATCTGGAGTGTGGACAAGGAAAGGTGTGTTTCGTACGACAAAAGTAATTTTCAGAACAATATTTTTCACAAGTCACTTGGGTTTTTGGCAACCAAAAAATTTTCGAACAGGAGAAAATGACTATTCTCTCTTATATGCAGTAGTCATTTTCCACAACGATCTTAACTTAACTCCATATTACTTGCTCCAACTAACACTTGGACATTATGGTTAATCTCTATGACTTAAAAATTTAATCAAAACACTCTCCAGTGCTAATACTATTATTCTTTCATGTATATATTTTTCCTGAAAAACATTTTCAGCTCACTAACCAAACATACAAAAATGACTGTCATGCCAAGCACACGCAAAGAGGCTGAGACAACTTCCTCAGATTATAATAGCCTAAACTCTATGTCATTCCCATTCTTCTACAGTGATATTTGGTGAACCAACTTGAAGTTGTACATATACACCAATATACTTTATGACAAAATATTTCCCAATTCTCTACTAATGTATCTAAAGATTGTAAAAGGAGGCATTAAACCAGAAATAACCCTTTAAATAGCATAGATGTAGTACGTATATTGAGAAACAACAAATAAGAGAAAAAATTCGTCAATTCAAATATCTCCAAGCTTATAAGAGTAAAGATGTCCATCAGTGTGACATAACATTCTTCCTTATTTTCTCTATCCACAAGTATAGAGCATAAAGACATCTAAAAACAAACCTATGTCATTAAACAAAAGGGCACATAACTATAAACACGAAATATAACACATAATACCCATCACCATACATATAAAACAACAACAACAACAACAACAAAACAGTATAATCCCATAAATGGGATCTGGGAAGGTAGTGTGTAAGCAGACCCTATAGAGAGTCTGTTTCCAATAGCAGTGAAAATAAAGCAACCAAGCAACATACAGATAAAACCTTAAAATAAAATAAACAACCCAAAAAAAATTGACTGACCCTTTTTGACCGCGTCGAATACTCTTTACCACCTCTTTAACGCCCCTCTTCAAGCACTTTTTCTCCGCAGCTGAAATCATAAATAAGGGTAAATCAATCAAACAACTACAACTCAATACCAACATTATTGTTTCGGAAATTAAAATGAGTGTAAAATAATACTCTTCCATGCTATTACTAATGAACGAATCGAACTATTTAAGAAGTATAAAGGATACCTCGGCGAACAAGTTTGAAGATGCGTTTGTTGAGTTTTTTTCCAGCAAGGGGTTTGGCAATAGGAGCTAAGGCCAATAGCTTCTTCTTCTCCTTTTGTGCACTTTTCTCTACTTCGCTATCGCTACCCATTTCTACCGAAGCTACTGGTCTCTGTGTTTTTTTCTGGAAGGGAAAAGCAGAGAGTAGGGTTTATGAGGAAGATGTACTATATTCGGTACTTGACTACTAGGGTTTAAGGTCTTGAGTTCTCGGCCCCCTAACTTTGGGCCTGTCGGTTTTTCCTTAATGGGTATGTTGTTTGGGCCTGATTGAAACCCAATTTATTTGAAGAATTAACCCAAATAGCCGCTATTTGTGTAATAATCCCATTTTATTAAAATGCGAAATGACACTGCTCAGAATTTTATATATATATACAAAAAATTATATATTTTTGCGACTACCGAATATAATAATTTTAGTCGCGGGCTTAAAGTGATTTTTGCCCTTTCATTTTCCAATTGGTGCGGACTTAACTACACTATCTTTAAAGAGTGTTCACTATTAATGTAATTCAAAGTTATAACAAGTTACATATTTATTACCAATCTTTTATTTGCTAAGAAACGAAGCATTTATTTATTTATGAAATTTAAGACAGTACATTCGGGGGAAACTGTGCGAAGATGCTCAGTTCCTCTTGTCTCTTACATCAAAACCTAACACCGAAAGAGTAAATTTGGGTGGGTGGTCAAAAACTAAAACATCTTGAAAGGATGTAGCGGCCACTGTTTTGCCAAATTTTCCATAGCATCCGACACGCCATCACCCTCCCGAATAGAGCTGTTGAATATTCTGATCACGTAGCATCGATCTGCATGAAATAAGCAAGTGTAAGTATTTTAAGTTCTCTGTTTGTAAATGGTTTAATAATACATGTGAATCAGATTCCACAATCAATGGATGGAAAAGTGCTAGTAGTTCCGCCTGGAGCGCATCTGTGTGCAGGGGCGGATTTAGGCGGGTGGAAGGAGGTTTACCCGAAGCCCTTCGTCGAAAAATTACACTATTTATATAAGGCAAAATCTGTTTTTTATCTCTATATATTAAGTTTTGAACCTCCTTTACACAACCCAAAAGTGTAGTTTAGTAATCAAGGGGGTTCAAAACATAGGTTCAATACCCACTAGTTACCAAAAAAAATTTTTGAACCCCCTTCGTGGAGATCCTACCTCCGCCACTGTCTGTGCGTGGAAGATGTTTTGTATAGCCACATATCCAGTGACCGTGTGTATCTCTAAATACACCCCCAAGGCCTCAAATATGTGTTAATGGATCTGCAGCTCCGTCGATGTTGAGTTTGATGTGTCCCGACGACGGCTTATGCTAGCGGACTGTAGGCGGCTTGGTAAGGAAACAGATTTGTGTAGCATGTGATATGATCAGGGGCATACTGAAATGAAAATATGAGAAAGTCGTGAAATCATTGATGTGAAAAATGTTGAAGGGGAAATGGAAAGATTGTAAATTTGTTTGGCTTGATTGTTTCCTTTCATGTGTATTTGATTGTTGATTCCATTACTACGTGTTACTTGTGTATGGTTTGAGTTTGCTTAGGGCAAAGTTTGTTCATACATACCAGTACAATTCAAATGTACTGACGTCCCTTTTGCCGGGGGCGCTACATTCGTGTTATGATTGTAGGTGGATCAGTAGCAGGTACTCCAGTCCACCGACCGTAGCTCCTCTTCATCTTCCGTCAGCTGTATTAGTGAGCCCCTTTCCTTCGGGGCCCTGCGTGGCTCATGCCGCTGTTTACTCTGGAGTCTTATTTTGGTTTTTGTGTAAGGTATAGTCGGAGCCTTGTTCCCGGCAGGTACTGTATTATTCTGTGTATCTTAGAGGCTCCGTAAACAGTAAATGTGGGTTACAAACTTGTGTAACATGTATTTTGGTATGTTGGGCAATGTAAGTTGTAAACTGCGCTAAGTAACCATGTTGTTATTGTATATTTCGTGAAAAGGTATTTTAACTATAATGGCTATTTCTTTTGATTAATGAGTAATGAAAACACGGGGTATCACGTGGGATAGGAAAGGCACCCAGGTCCGCTTGACTGGGGCTACCCGGTCGAGCGCCGGTCATGTCCCTCGGTTTTGGGGCGTGACACCTACTTATCCATTTCCGTACAATGTTAGTACATATGTTTAGTAAAAAAAATCCGACGAAGCGATGTCGTGTGACCGCTTCGATATGCGTGCATCCGCACCTAGATATGATGTTATGAAGGCAAACATTGGTAGTGGTAGGTTGATCAAAAGTATTCCTATTACGATTCAGCCAAATGTGCCAAAGAATGACAGGGGTAAGTATTTTGAGGGGAATAGAGGTAAAACGATTTAGAAGGATAGGCGTGTTGGACTGGCAAATACTTATCAACCAGTCAATATGGTCAATTGTTGGCGGTTGTATGTTGAAATAAGTCCAAACGTTGCTTGCGGGTCGACACTGGATAAAAAGGTGGGCCAGATCCTCATAATTATTTTGGCAAATACTACAATTGGCATAAAGGGTGATGTTTTGATAATAAAGGAGAGAAGCAGTTGGCAAACAATTGAGAACAAGTAGTCATATGAAGTGTTTAATTTAATTAGTGATAGTTGTCTCCCAAATCCATTTATGAGGGAAGTGGTGACAGTATCAGAATGGTGAGTAATTAGCTTGTAGGCGAAGGATGAGGAGAACATGCCGTTCCTAGTATTATTCCAGAAGGGTGTTGTTTAGCTCAAAAATTATATTCTTATTTTATAAGCTTAAAAACAATCGAAAATATATAGGGGTAAATCGTAATTAAATATAATAAGTCCAAGAGATGATTATTGCTTCAAGAATGTTTGTAGATCTATAAGTGCGTAGTGAAATAGACTTAGCTTAAGAGGGAAGTAATGGTTGGAAAATCAAGAAAGAGATAAGAGAGAGAGATAGAGAGAGAAATTGTATTATCCGAGAATAACCATCCTCCTATTACAATGTGGAGGTCTCCTTTATATAGTAGGAGACCTCCCTCGAAATAATCAAAAAGGTACAAAAGTTGGTGGCTTCTACTCAGTAAAAAGGTCAGGCACTAAACGACGTCACTTCTTCTTCACCAACTTGGGCCGTGCCCTCACTCGGGTCGCCCTTATTATAAGGGATGTGCCCATTTGGCGTGGGGGCGTTATGAGCCAAATTTAACCCTATACAATATGCAATCATCACATTATAACATAAGCGATCTATTAACAGTTCAAAAAAAGAAGCTCAAATTAAATATTAATAATTTAAATCTAAACAACAACAAGAACTTTCTTGATCCTCGATCTCTAACAACTGGATAAAAAAACCCTTGCTAATTTGCAAGAACCGAAGTCTCTCATTTTTATTTGCCATATGTTTTTTTAATATAAAAATTAACCTTTTTACAAGTGGCAGAGCTACATAGCTTTAAGGGGTGTCAATCGATGAAAATTACATTGTTTATATACTATGTACTATCTTCACAAGGCAAAAGTAAGGTTTTTGTACACACTACTCTTCCCAAACCTCACTTGTGAGATTACATTCGGTATGTTATTATTGTTTTATGTGTGTGTGTGTGTGTGTGTGTGTGTGTGTGTGTATATATATATATATATATATATACACACACACTATGTGTTGAATCTCCTTAACTTCTTCGTGTATTTACTTTTTTAAATTTTGACACTATTTAGTAAAAATTCTGGCTCTGCTACTGTTTACAACATCACGCAGATGTGCTTTTGGTACTATTTTTTTCCTTCCTCCAAAGGCCTCAACATTGGAAAGAAACGTACATAAAATGTGTTGAGTATAGTGGGACCCACCTATTTAAGAGTTCAATGCTATTAGTTGTTAGTTAGTTTTTTGTTATTAATAGTGAAGTCGGTTACTTATACTGTACATACATTCATTCTCTTTTCTTTCAGTATGGAATAACAGAGTCTTCTCTTCCATTCCTTCTTCTTCTTCTAGAATTTTCTTCTGCCATGGCTGAGCTCCTTAACATGGTATCAGAGCTCGGTTCTCGATTTCTTTAAGCTCAGCCGTGAGAAATCTTAGATTCATCAGCTATATCGAATCATTTACTCATCAATTTGATCGAGCCATTTTCAATACAGAAATTTCTCAGCTCAGTCTAGGGTTTGGGAATTTTGATTCTCTGGTTGAATCAAGGTCAAATTGTGTCCAAGAGTAAGTAATTTCTGATTTTTTGGTGAAGATCCAACTGCTGTGACAATGTCTGTCAATGAAGATGTAGATGACGCTCCTATTGCTGCGGCTACTTCTGCAGAACTTGTAGATCACAATCATCCTCTCTACATTCATCCATCTGATGCTCAAGGTTCTGTTCTAATTTCTATTCAGCTTCAAGGTTCCTATTCTATTTGGAGTAGATCTATGAAAATTGTGTTGCATGGTAAAAACAAGCTAGGATTTATACTAGGTACCTCTAAAAAAAAGCAGGTACGATGCTAGTTTACATGAATTGTGGGATAGGTGCAATGCTATTGTACTTGCTTGGATAATGAACACAGTTTCACCGAGCCTAATTAGTTCAGTGATGTATGCTTCTAGTGCCCACACAATGTGGGAAGACCTTAAAGAAAGGTTTGATAAGGATAATGCATCTAGGGCCTGCTAATTGCACAAGGAAATTGCCACATTAACTCAAGGTATATCGTCTGTGTCTGTATACTACACTAAACTGAGAGAATTGTGGGATGAGTATGAGACTTTGACGCCTCCACCTACTTGTGGTTGTGCTGAATCGAGGAAACATGTAGAGCACTATCAAATACAGAAGTTATATCAATCTCTCACGGGGTTAAATGAGTCATATGAGAATGCCAAGAATCAGGTTCTCATGACTCGACCATTACCTAATCTGAACCAAGCTTATGCTATGATAGTCAATGTGGAAAGTCAGAGAATTAGTGAAAAAGGTGTATTTGCTGAAGGTAATAAAGCTGCTATGATGAGTAATAAGGGATATTCTGGAGGACAGGCTAACAATAATCCTAATGGAGGGTTTACATGAGGATACAATGGTGGAGGAACAGGTTAACACCAACTTCAGTGGAGGCTATAAGCCTAGGAATTCATTTGGTAAAGGTGTTGTTTGGTGTGACTACTGCAAGTATAAGGGTCACACTAGAGAGAACTGTTTTAAA